AGACAGACAGACAGACAGACAGACAGACAGACAGACAGACAGACAGAGAGAGAGAGAGAGAGAAAGCGCACTGGAGTCACTTTATTGTTCATTTCTCGAAGCAACGTCTTCGCCCGTCTTCGCCCCTTGGGACCTCCGTCATGGCCCTGCTGGACGACGGCGACGCCACGCCGCCCTTCCAGCTCGCCGACCCGGCACCGGCGGGCGAGGGCGGTCGCGTGGGCGGGCGCTGCTGGGGACAGCCGCGCATACGGACGGACACTTGTTCAAGTGGTGATGGTGACAGGAGCTGTTCGGATTCTTTTTTTGTGGAAGTGATTGGGGTCTAAAAGAAGAGAACTTGACCTTTAGGGGGCTTTGCATGGGGGTTGGAAGGAGTTGGGTCTTCGTCTTGTAAGTCACCATGAATCTTCTTTCGTCGAGTCTCAGAACTTCGAGTGTGTGGGAGCCCAGATCCTGGGGTCTCACGTGAGGCCATCTCACGTGGTGCTCAAAAGTTGGTTTTTGTAGCTTGTACTCTCCATGAAATGGTCATGGAAGTGGAAGATGGGATGACCACCTGCCTCTACAAACAGGTGGCTTTCCACTTCCATGATGGTTTCAAGGCGTGCAACATTGGGTTTCCACTTCCACATGTTCTCAAGTTCCACCAACGTGAACAGTTGTAAGTGGTCTGGCTAGGAGCTTGCACCTGTGCTGCTGGTAATGGGATATACCGATATACCCTATGAACAAATACGTTCGTAGCATCCTTGCTCCGTTCGTAGCGATGCCCAAAAAGTCACTGCTACGGACGTAGCGATGCCCTTGCTTCTATACCACTCAAATCCGATGCCATTCCTACGGACGGAGGCCTTTGACCACCGGCTGTGGCACGCACTGCTTGAGGCACCAGCAAGCTTGCAGCTTTTGCATGCACAGCTCCTGTTTGGTGGGTCTCCTGAAACCGAGACCGGCAAAGCGTCCAAAAAGCCAGACCTTGCTCTTGAAGACCTATTTCCTTCCACCTGATTTGCTGGAATGACTGGGTTCCAGGGTCTTTTGGCATAGAGTAGCTACAGCCAGTCTATGCCAGTCTTCACGCTGATCATGTGTCCCTTGTCCAACCTTTGTCTGATCCGACTTTGCCAGTTGCGCAGTTCAGATCCCTTGCCTTAACATCCGAAGCTGATCTACCTTACAGTATTCATCATTATACGTTATAATCTTTTCCGGTCCTTTCACCTGCTCAGGATTGGGAACAGATCATCGATGGAGAGGACCCCTTATGTGGCCGTGTCACGACACAAGAAGCTCAATGGGCGGTGGTGGTGACCATGGGCTGCTCGATCCAAGCCGGACGCAGCGCTCTGATCGTCCTCGTCGTGGGCTCGCGTTCGTACGCTCCGTGAGAAAGCGATGGGAGCCCCTACTTAGTAGGGAACCTTGTTCCTAGTAACCTAGTAGTAAGGCCCTTTGCTACTAGTAGCTTCTTGTTCCTAGTAGTACGGCCAGGAGCCCCTAGTTGCGTCCTTGCTCCTAGTAGCGATGCCAGGAGCCCCTACTTAGTGGCGAAGCTTGTTACCCAGTGGGGAAAACCAGACCCATCAGTTCAGTTTGATCGTCTGACCTGGACTGAACTGAACCAGGCAACACTGGCATCACTGGCACCACTGGCATCACTACGTTTTTAATACTCTACTTTGGATTCTTTAGATTTAGATCTTGTCATACTAGGAGCAAGGACGCTACTAGGGGCTCCTGGCCGTACTACTAGGAACAAGAAGCCACTAGGGGCTCCTGGCCTTACTACTAGGAGCAAGGACGCTATTAGTAGCGTCCTTGCTACTAGGTTATTAGTGCAACAATCCAAGACTTGGCGATGAATTTCCTCCATTCGACTTGCCGGTGACCTCGCGATGGGTCGACGTTCTCGACGATTGAACACGGCTCACATGGATGTGTAGAATGGGGAGACGTCTGGTCAATTCTAGTGGAATGAGAGTAGATGGCACAATCTCCAAATCAAAAAACCATTTGAAGACATCTTGGGGTGCCAGTGCCATTGAACCTCTGAGGCCACTGAAATCCATGTAGACTGTTGATATGAACAGGAAAACACATCGTATGAAGATGTAGACACCTAATTACTGATACTTTTTAATTGATCAGCAACTTCTGTATTTCAGCTGGTCTTCCATCGACGACGTTTGTTAGACGGACCAATAAGCCGTGTACGGAAATACCAGACCGATGGACCGGTTTTGCCGCAACGACGACGTCTCACTGTTCCAAGGTATCTCTTCGATGCGAGAGAAGTTGTTAGCAAAGGAAGAGCTGCTGTGGTATACGCTGAGCTGCTGAACCTTCATGGACTGAGGGTGGACCGTGGATGGATGGACGGTGGTGTGATGTCCTGTCGGTCACGCAGAAAATCGGACATGAAACCAACATCAGCCACGGCAGAGGAAGATGTTTGATGTCCTTTCACGCACGAGACTGGCTGTGATCTATCATAGTGTGTCCGAAAAGTGTTGGGCCGAAAGATCTTTAACTTGGAGGTTATACAGTATGTCGGTAGCATGCCTACAGTACCGCACAGAGGGACATTTGTAACAGACCACGTTGAGATTTTCCAAATTAATAGGTCTGAAGTCTGAAGTGCTGCTTCGGAACACTGCGCATGCATTCCCGATGAACCCATACACTCCAGTGGCTTTCGAAATGCAACGTTGCTTCGCTGTTCTGGATTCAATATCGATGTGCTTGCTCTTTTCCCGACCCACCCTGGGGCCGTTCCCAGAGCTGTGGCGGACCCGGCCATCGGTACCTCTGGTGGTCTCGACGCGAAGAAACGAACGCCGCCGAACGCACGCTCTCGAACGCTGCCGAACGGTTGGGGAGTGGACTGGGGGACGACCCAACTTGTGAGAAGAGGGACGACCCAGCCGAACTTCTTCCAAACCCGAGAAACCGTCAGCTGCCACAACCATCTACACTTCGCTGTACTTACATCGCCCAACTGCCCCCTCTGCCCAGATGTTTCCGCCAGCGTATTTTTTTTTGTCAAGCGCTTACATAGCTTCGCCTGGAAGCTGCACAAGTCGAGGCTTCTATTGCTTTTGGGGCGTGGTCATGGCATCCATCAACTACTCCAGTCGCTGCCTGGCGTCGACGGGTGCCGAAGCTGGTGTCGACGGGTGACGTACGTGAAGCGGTTTGTTTTTGAGGGAATACTGATGACTGATGCACTATAATCCGCATCAATCCCAAGTATTCCAGCAAGCCTGCCCCTCAACTCAGTTATCAGACAGAAAAAAGGCTGCTGGCTTTGCAGCTATGGGCGAAAAAGAGGCCAAGCGGCTGCCAGATGGCAGTGCATTGGTTCACGAAGTAAATCGTTTTCCAACCTATGCAGTTGATGCGAGAGTTAACATTTTGGAACACGTGGTCAAACAACTACCTTTTCGAACGCGAGGACTCATGTAGAACGGAGATCCCGCCAGGCAGGCACCTGAACATGCAACAGCAAGTGAGTGTTTTGTGCGATTTTACTTGTAGTTTTCATTTTTGTCTTCCTTTTTGGTGGATAGGATGATTGGATCCTGACGTTTTTGTTCGATGCGAACACATGACAACGGAACCCTCCGTACCAAACCCCACTAAAAACCACTGGTCGGTTTCAAACTCATGTTTCCGACACCAAAAAAGGCTCGGCGGTTTGTTTCCCGCCAGTTTCCCGGGTGAGGCTTCAATGATGACGACAGCTTTCACAAGGTCTTTTGGGGCGCTTTCCTGGTGCTCATGGCGCTTCAGGTGGCCTACCTGAACCACGACATGCCGCTTGGGAAGCTTTTTCGCTTCAGAGAGTCATCGCGTCGGCTAAAAACAGGCCCCCCTTCCGAGGGGTCGAAGCTTGACTCGTATGAGTCTGTGTTCGTGGTGTGCACAAAAAGGAACCGGGATGTTCTTTTTTTGGACATGAAGTTTATGTATAGAACAAACCAACCTAGAAGCAAAGACCTCCAACCTAATAGCGATGGCCTCCAACCTACCAAGGATGAACACACCGTGAAAAGGACCAAGACAAGAACGAGAGAACTTTAGAGGTTCTTCATGGTTCTTCTATATTTTCTGATGCTCAAGTTAGATGGGCTTTGCTTCTTTCCAACAGAACAGAGCCTGATTCTGTAGTGACACGGAGGGCGCTCCCAACTGACATGCACCCCTCCCATCATTTGAAGACGTGCTCATTCTCTGCGAGACAGAGTTACAGGCCATAAATCACTTCAGTTGAGAGCTGGCGGAAGGTGCCCCTTTTCCAAACTCAAGCCCTTCTTTTCGAACAGAAGCATCAAACCACCACCACCGAGAAACCAACCATCGAAGGAGGCTTTTCCACATTGCACTGCCACAGCTTGCACAGCTTGCTATGCTCGACGATCGAACCCTGCGGGTCTCCGCGTGGTCCACACGTCCTCGGTCATCCCCACGACCGAGGTCGGGTTTGGCGATGGCCACGGCGGGTCTCTACTTGTTGGTGAGCATCGCTCACCTGAGGGTGGCCGGGTCATGGATTTTTTGGAGGTTTGGAAAGACGGGTGACGAGGGAAACGGAAGGGTCTACCACCACATGAGGACATCGTGAATCGATCAGGACGTTTTTACAAGGCTTCAGTTTCTAGAAGGACAGAGAGAGAGAGAGAGAGAGACACACACACACATACTTGGATGATGAAGAGTAATCCAAAGTTGTGCAGACAACACAAGCAGACTCTTGATGAATAATGACAAGAGCAAAAGGAAGGCACTGCAAGGAAGCGAGAAAAGGAAAGCAAGTCCGATGAGGAAGATGTGAACGACGAGGAAAAGCAAGTCCGATCCCAATGGACGCCGCCTTGGAGCCATTGTGGATTCCCGACTTCACACCAGGTCAGGCAAAGGACTTCAAGATCTCGGTTCAAGACTCGGTTCAGTTCTCTTCTTCCACGAGAAATCCGTTTGGGTTTCGGGATTTCATGGATGATCCAGTCTGTTTCAGTTGCGCCTCTCTCTTGTTGCGCCTCCCTCAGACGAGTCGGAGCCTTGCGCCAGTCTTCTCGTTGTCAGTGCCGTCCTCCCTCCGACCGTCCGAGGTGGGGTGGTTCCTTCGCCGGGCACGGGCCATCTGCTTCTGCCTGGGCTTGCAAACCTTCCTGGGAGGTGGGAACGAAGGAACCCGAGGGGCCACATGGGGCCACAGGGGAACGTGGAACTGGGACGACCCGGGGGACCACCGGGGGACCACTGATACACAACGAGCAATCTGCCATCGAAGATTCTGCCAGGAATTCGAGACCTGAGCAATCCTCTATATACTTGGGGATGAGATCGAAATTGATCATCCGATCTTTGAAATCGCTTAGATGCTTTTGTGTGATAGAGTCATTCGACTTTCAAGAACCAGCACCACGGACTTCGGGTGGTCATTTTAGAAGGAACATACCTCGTCAGGGATGTCGATCAACCACCCGAAATCCGTGCTTTTTTTAAAACCAAATTCCCCTGTTTTTCTACCCGTCGGGTGGAATTCGTGTTGTTTCCCGAACTCCAAACCAGTTTCAAGACCGAAGTGTACCGTTGGTGGAAACCCGTCGTTGTGGAATTTCCTTCAAATGTGGTGTCCATTCTTGGAACACACAGAGACCTCGAGACCTCGCAGAGACCTTGGAAATAGGGTGAAGAAACCAATAAAGAGGAACCGATGCTTTTGAACAGGGTTTCTTGGAAATAGGAACCTTCAAAGTACTCTAAGAGAAACTTTGGAAAACAACATGGTTTGCGTGAAGTTGTTGGACCCTAACTGCGATCATTCCAACCTTGTATGGTTGAACTCCTGTAAACACCCATCGCGGTACCGCTTATCATAGCTTCAGGCTTTACTACAAGACGGATCTGCAAGCAAATGCATAATTTGAACTCTTTTTGGGATTTCAAGCAGCTTGCGATTCGTCTTGAAACAACCTGTTTGGATTTGTTTTTGATGATTGAAAGCAACAGCCTACCAGCTGTGGCAAGCAAAAACCCACCACCCCTGATCTTCCGAATCCGAAGAAGGCGTCCTCTTCGTGGTGATCGCCATCCTCTCACAGGGCAAGGAGAAGAATTCCGTTTGGCACACGAGATGGACCGCACATCACCACCGGAACGACCGGCGGCCAACGGCCGTTCGCCCCCCCTCCTTCGCCTTTCGCGGCCGGTGTTCGATGGTTGGGGAAAGGGACGAAGGTGGCTGTGGGTCCTGTGGGTTTGGGAATGAGGATCTGGCAATCAAGAATGTTTGGTACTTGCCACCAGCAAGAGTCTGTCCTTGAATACGGATGTAAATTCCACCGGTGTTTCATGCCTGATCCTACGATGCATGGAATTCTGCGGATGAACTTTCTTTTTGAACACTCGAAGACATGTAGCAGTAGAAACCGCTGCATCTCTTTGGAAGCATGTTTAGATCATTGGGGCAGGTGATAAACAGCTTGATTGTTGGATGGGTCCTTCTGGATGGAAGGACTCCTCTACCACTTGGAACGCCTCCACAAATCCTTCGGAATTCATTGTGTAGATGCAACAAACGAAGGAGCCACAAATCCATCTCCATCTCCACAAAATGAGCAGCTAATGTAGACTGTTGATGATCTTTCAACCCCCCAAGTGGATTGTAAACATTTGTGACGAGCCCTTGGAACATGGACATCTCATCCCCAGGACGCGACCCCCCCTTGGATTCGGCACTCGGCCCCGAGTCCGGGCCTTGGGTCCGACTCCGGGCGTCGAGGGCGGGCTGTGATCAGCCACGACCGAGCGCCCGAGACCTCGTGCGGTGTGTGCGCTGCTTGCGACTCCGCTTTCGCTTCCAGGAGCGACTGCTCCTGGCGGAACTGCCGTGCGAGGCGATTCTTCTGTCAGTGAACGTGGTCTTGGAACCTGCTGCTCAGAGTGAGAGATGGCTTGGCGATTTTTTTTTCGTTGGAGGATCTGTCTCCCAGCAAAGTTTTGCCCACGAAAAACCATCTCTTTGAATGACCTTTGTTAAGGACCATGACTTAAGGATCTTTAAGGATTTCAGAAGGCCCTTCAAAGGATTTTTTAAGGCGATGGTTACTTTGTTTATGACCTATGGACTGTTGCTGGAGGGTACAATCGAATTCTGCTCGGCTCATATAGGAGTTTCGAAAGCGAAGGCATGGAGAGAACTGGATACTGAGGTTGCTTTTGATTGTTGGTGGGGGTTGCTATGAGATACCTAGCATTTGGGATGTGTCTTCGTTTCTTCTTTTCTTTGGCCAGCCGAATCTGCTGAAACCGCAGAAAGAGACGGACATGGGTTGGGTCATGGACTGGAAGCCAAGCAAGGCTGCTCCCGAGTCTCTGGACCTTCTGGGCTTTCGTGGACTACGACCGTGGGGGCTGTGGACCGAAAAGGACGACCGACGACCGTGAAATGGGCGTGGCTGGACCGTGGGCGTTTTGGGCGTTCCATGGTGAACTGCAGGGTTATGACTCATGACGCAAAACAGAGTGCGGTCTACAGTCCGCTGCGCTTGGGTTGTGAGAAGTGTCTTGGGTGGTGAGAACGTTGCATTTTTTCTGGGTGGACATGTCTGGCATTTTGACCTTCTGCAAAAGGCAAACTGCCCATATCACTCATATCAGGATCTCTTTCCACCACAAGGTACTCATTTTGACCGAGTTCGTCGATGTATCAGTATCATCCACTCGTAGACCCAAAGCTGTCTATAGCAAGCACACCGAGCGATACGCGCCGCGCCGCCGCGCGCCGTGCTGGACTTGAGGTTTGTGTCTTGCTCTTCATGGCCTTAAACCGAAAGAATCATGGGCACATCAGTGAGTGCTGGGACGTGCCCTTCAGCATCGACTACATCGAAGCACGCTTCGAGAGTTTACACATGACCGTGATTGATCCTTGGACGACTCGGGCGAAAACCACGTCGACGCTGTATGTCACCGTTTCCGCTGTCACCGTTTCGGGGCCGACCTCGCCGAACGGATAGGGCTTGCAGGAGCGAACTCTGAGTTTTGCGTTTCTTCTGAATTGGGGTGGGCTGGAAGGAAGCTGTTTTTGGATAGTTATTGCATGTTGAAATGCACAGGGATGGTTCATACATGTTCATACTTACCAAGCTGCAGCTGCGGTCTGACATTTGGCGACCAAGCTCCAGCTGTGATGGCGGTTGGAGTCCACTTGACATGTTCGGTGTGCATCTGATAGGTACAAATTCCCATCCTTTCACACATCTTTCGTCACGTCCGCCGAACGAACACTGGTGTCAAGGATGGCCACCCGCACATGAGCGGCGCGAACCGAGACCGGCTCGATCCAGCCGGGTGGATCCAACCAATGAGATTTCGTCCCCCTGCCCTGATCCGAAAGGTCATTCCCACTGTCGATTCTCCAGATCAAATCTCCAGATTCTAACCACCAGGGGTCACAAAGGGGTGGTGTTTGGCCATGGAGTGAGTGGATAATGGGCACCCCTAACCTCCAAGTTCGGCACCCCGTCTTGTGACTCCTGGCATGTCGATCTGCGCGTTTTCTTTGTTTTCTCAACACCGAGAGTTTGCACCCAAAGAAAGACTCGGGACACGGCCAATGACTCGGGACCGGCCGGGTTTCGCACGGTTCGGTTCAGACACTTTTCCTTCCAACTCGGTTCCAGACCACTGGGACCACCGACTTGGGAAGAACGACACCGCCAGATTCGCTGTGAGCGCAGGATGTTTGGTGCCATGTCGAATTCCTTTCGCCACCCGTGGTGAGGAACATATTTGCCGTGACATTGTCCTCCATCAGGTGTGCTCCTTCCTCTTCCCCATTGGCCTTTCCGGGAACTTCTTCGCAAGCTCGCGGGCTGCGGCGGTGCGCGTGCTGGCGGCCAACCTGTATGCGCTGATCCTGAAGCTGGTTTCTCGGATGAAGACAGGATGACGTGGGAGGGACTGTGTTTTCAGGACTGTTTGACGGTTGAAGCACGGGTCATGCAGAGATCCAGGTGACCTCTTTTTTACTCGAATTCATGTTTGCTAGGACAAGGTGCTGCATTTTGTTTGATTTGTGTGCTGCTGGACGTGGACATGGAACACGCATTGTGTTGGCCCATGCAACTGAGGGTTGATATGAGCTGTTTGCTCACAACAACCATTTGTCCAGTGTCTTTGAGCATGGAACACCCGAGACCGCAGACCAAGCAAGATCACGAACGTGGTCTTTGCCGAACGTTGACGTGGTGTTTGTGGACGATTTGTTGGGTGTTGCCTTGTAGAGAAACCATGGATGTCAGTTGAATGCTGTTAACGTGCTGGGTGGAGCTTCGAGCGAGCTAGGAGCTTCTCCAAAGGTGTACTAACTACCGTTCACAGTACCGTGGAGGGGGGGCTTCCAAAAGCTCAGTGTCCAGATGTTTTGTGGTGAGATGAGCTATTTTCACCACTGGCGCAGGCAGATTTGCACATTTTTCGGTTTGAGAACGAGGCCTTTCATCTAGTTGAAAGAAAAACACACATGCGCCACGTGATGCCCACAGGACCCTGGTTGAGAGACCGAACATGAACAGAAATAGACGCCCCCATGTCCATGGTCCACCTACTAGGGTGGGTTGTTTTATCTCCAGGTAGGCAACACCCCAGTTTTGACCCACTTTCACACATGTTCACACGGCATTCCAAGAGAGGTTAAGTGACCTTATAGGACCCTACTGGGGTACCTATGGGATGGTCTATAGGGTCATTCAACCTCTGTTGGTTTGTTGAGGGAAACATGTGAGATCCGAATTGTGGCCGGTGGTTCACGGCGCGATGGACGACGGTCGTTGTTGCTGGTCTTCGATGCAGGTGGTCTTCGACATGCACGACATTCACAACCTAAGTGCCTTGGTCTTCGACAGATTCCGGAGTCGAAGGAGGCTTGGAGCCAGCAATGCGGCACAGCTGGTGCTGTGATTTGAGTGTCCGGATGATTTGCTCATTGGATTTCTCGGGGCTGTTTTGGTGGGTGCATCAGTATATCAAAGAGTTTGGAAGTCAAAACACATTGATTTGGTGTTGATACCAGGAGGGGTTTGGTCCAAACCCGAGGTAGCAGTTGCCTCTGGGGCTGCTAGTTGCTGAGTTGTTTATGCATAGGTGCCAGAAAGAGTGATGGAACTCCCCAGTCCCAGCCATTTCCATGGAAAGGATCTCAAGCAAGCCTTATTGGAAAAACCACTTGTTATTTGTTGTTTTTGAACATCGTTTGAGCAGCTTGTTGACCAGAGGTGAAGGCCTGGAGAGAACCCCCCAAATTCCACCCAGTTTCCACTCTCATGTCTTCCACCGACCAAAGAACATGTCTTCCCATTGCCATCACCACTGAACACCAGCTGCCACTGCTATGGCCGGTCCTCAGGCGATGGCCGCAGCCGGCACGCGATCCGCCGCTCGCGGCGGAGCACGATCTTCTACATCTACTCCTTCCCGCTGGGCCTCTTGGGCCGCTCGGAGGAAGGTATGTGTTTTGGAGGAGTGAAATTGAAGGTAGACATCGCTGGTTATTTGTTGGAGGCCATCGCTAGTAGCAACAATAAAGCTTTCTAGTATGTTGTTGAAGCTTTCTAGTAACTAGAAGCTACTACGCTGTAGTGGGGGGTTCTGCTGCAGTGGACTTTTTCTTTGGTGGACATTTATCCTCGCAATCAGCATCTGGGTGAAGATCGCAGGCACAATAGTTGGCCTGTGCGAGTTCTGAGTGTGCTTGGATGCATGTTCCAGCTTTTCTTGAGGTCTGGATATTCACCTTGCTTGGGCTTTGGATCTTTCTATCTCAGATCACAGCTGAATGTTGAGTTCGATTGTTTCCCACACTCCGAATCACCGCCACCAGCTGGCCAAGCTGCCAGCTGGCCTTCCGCTCACCAAGGTATCTCTTTCACAGGCTCGGTCGGGCCACGGTCTGTGGCGTGAGTTCGTGTCGAGTGAACCGATGGGTCGATGTCGATTGTCGAGTCAATCGCATGGAAGTGGACCAACACCATGGACTGTTCATAGGAAGATCGGAAAATCGAAGGGGTCAATGCCATCCACTTCTGAGTCGAGGACTCGACGGAATCGCAGAGGGCGGGAATTCTGCAGCCTTGACCTTGGCAATGAGTTTCCACCCTTCCAAGAACCGGGTTCCAATCACTACTAGCTTCTTTGTTACCAGTAGTGTTCTTTGCTCCTATAGTAGTAATGCCCTTTGTTACTATAGTAGCGATGCCCTTGTTCCTAGTAGCTTCCAATCAGCCTTTGATTGAGAACGCATTATTCGACGGATTCCGCTGCCTCGCAGCACTTGACCTGCCGGGTGAGGGTTTACACGAAAGACAATAGAGAAAGGACCTAAGTGTCTAAGTGTGCACAAACAGAATAGCACCATGAAAGACCAAGAGACCATGTGCGCCCACATATTCTCATGGCCTCTTGAGAATATGTATCGATGCTTCGGTCGACCGTACCGCCCCCGCTGACCCGTGAGGCGTGGGCTTCATGGCTTCAGTGAAAGGCCACGAGAAGGCCATGGGAGATGGCGGAGCCAAGAATCGCAGAGATGGCTTCTCCCACTCTCTACATTCAACGACCTACCGAGCTCAAAACACCATCTCTTTCGGATCCGATTCGGAACACTGTGTGCCCGGCGTCCATCCGTGACGTCGACGGAGCATCGTTGACCTTCGGCCCAGCGGAAGGCCTTGACCCGATGGTTGCTTTGCTTTGGTCCAGTCCCTCGGCAGCGACCGAACACCGCTCGGTCGGTGGAGCGTTGGAACTTGGCGGCGGCGCCGATCGTGGACCGGTGGACCGGTGGCAGACGTGGACGAGAGAGCGGGTGAAACGACCTGTTCGTCCAGGACGACCCGGACGTGGTGAAGGAGAAGGATTGGATCGGGCCGAAACGGACTGTGGTTGTGACATCCGAATTCCCTAGATGCTTCTGGACAGGGGTTGCTCTCTTACAAAGCCCCAGATCCGCAAACCACGAAACCCAGCCACGATCCGATGTGTGATGGATCTGTTACAGTGGTTTCAGAGTAGATGGCACAATCACCAAGAGGTGGTTTATATGGGCCCCCATCTAAAAGACATGTAGGGGTTTGTGCCATCTACTCTGAAACCACTGTACTGAGCAGTGGACAGGTTGCAATGAACCATGATTCCTTGTTTGTTAGCGGAGGCTCTTTTGGGGTGGCTAGTTCACTGGCTGAGCTGATGAAAAAAGACTCCAGGTTTCCAACTCGGTTGTGCCCGGCTGGTGCCAGGAAGTACAATGGACTCCAAATGGTGCTCCAATCCCTTGTTCTTTTGGCCTCCACCCTAGTAGCGATGGCCTCCTCTAGCCATGAGAAACTAAACACAGACAATCTATATACATCAAACCGAAACAAGACACCCTAAACCCACACCAAACACACCCAGAGACCAAAAAAGCATCCGTCTTCACTAGGTATCGCAGAGCAGTACCGTACGTCACCAGTGACCTAGGCATTGACTTGGTCCACCTTGTCGCTCACCAAAGCCTTGCATTCTCCCTTGGAGCCGGTGCGGGGAAGCGCTAGCCCGTCGCGTCCGGCGCACCGTCGCGTCCGGGGAAAAAAAGGGACGACCAAACGGTGCGAATTGGTCTGGTTCAGAGGGATTGGATGGGCTTGGAACGGTTTGGTGGGTCTCAAAGGGTGGTTCTCTTGGTTCTCTTCTGGCGGAAGGAGGAGTTCTGGTGGAAGATGAGTGTTCTCTACTCTGCGAGGCACAGGATGTCTCAGGTTGGAGAAGACTCTGTCGGATGACTTAGGCCCTTAGGCCTTCCTGGCTGTACTGAGGATGTACTGGTGGATACCATACTGCATCCCAATATATTTAGCCGTTTAGCCGCGAGAGGTTCTCAGTACCTTTCGTGCTGGCCCACCTCCCCCAGGTCCTCCTCTTCAGCCTTGCGGAGATGCCCCACTCCTTTTTCGCAGGTCGTGCACTGGGCGAAGGTGGCCGCAATGCTCGCTTGTGCGTTGGCCTTTCTACTTCCCTGGTTGCTGGACCGACGTTTCGACGGATCGTATGTGGGGAACGGAACCAGACCGAGCGCACCACCAGAACCCATCGAAAGACGTTTGGACCATTTGGAAGCTTTTTTTGTTTTGGATGGTCTGGGGGGGGAGATGGTCCCATGGAACGTTGATATTTTTGGGGAGCCAAGAGCTGGCTATGGTTGTTCCCAGGTGCGATTGACCCGCAGCGAGAGGCCATTTCTGTTCCACTCTGTGGCCATGAGATGTTGTTCTTCTTCCTCAGGCTAACTGTGAGAACCGAAATTGAACATTCTGACTGGCGTTCTGAGTACCCGTGGAGCGTCTGGCTGACCTAGACATTTTTGGTTTCCTTCTTCATTTAGGGAATGGATCGGTTGCCAGACGGGGGAGGCATCGGTTTATTGCTGGAATCCATCATGAAAAATGTTCAGGAGATCGGATTTTCCTGATCTGTGCTGTCGTTGCTGCTGGTGCTGTTGATGTTCGTGCTTCCTACTTGTCCCCTTCTGCTGCTGTGTTTCTTCTTCTTCTCCCCTTTTTTTTGAAACCTCCTTCCTCATGGGATTTGCCGTCTCGGACAACTCCACGAGCAACAGGGCCAGCAAAAAAGCACCACCTGGTAGTTATTATGTACTTTGTACTTCACCCGCCCCTCCAAAAGTCTCAGTTTTTTGGTGGAAACGGTGCTCGGGCGGAAGTGGCTCGCACCACCCCGCCCGCCACGAGAGGACTTCACGGTGAATGGCACGTTGATTCTGGTCATGGCCATTGTAAGCTTAGCCTTGCTCTCTCAACTGTCCCTTAGCACGGGAAAAGGGACGACGCCTGGGCTGGGCTCCACCGTCGCACGGTCACCGGTGCGGTCGTCACCGTTCGCTGCGGGTCGTCACCGGTTCCGGGTCCCATGCTGCGTCGGGTGAAAACGCGTGGCCCTTCGGCCTGTGGATCTGGACTCCCGTGCAGAGACCGAACGAGTCTTCACTCCTTCTTCCGAAGGGACGCCAGAGAGAACGTGGCCGAACGCCTGCGCGAAAAGAACGTGGCCTGGCCGTTCGCATGAAGAAAAAACCAGGTGAAGCAAACGGGTGTGTCCCAGCAAAGCTGTAAAAGTCGATCAAAGATGATCACGATTGGAATGGGATGCTGGCCTGTAACTTCACCATCACTATCCCAAAGACGGGCCCTAGAGAAAACTGGGATATACCCAAGGGTCAACCAATTCTGTTGGAACTTTCTCGCTATCTGTGACCTTCTCGTTGCGTGGAAGATACCCAAGCTAGGGTCCACCCTTTTTTCAGAAGGGCCACCGAGACTTTGAGGGGTTTTTGGACTTCTTGGTACCGAGGATCTTGGAGCGCTGGCTCTCGGAGAAGAAGGACTTCCCCAGCGGCTGGCAGTGGAAGCGCCCGAGGCTCTTGAAGGATTGGACCACTCTCAAGGAGGTCCGAATACCTGGAGGGGGGAAGGTTTGGGGGGAAGGTTGGGTTGGTTTTCAGTGCGCGAGGCACGGAATCTTTGCAGTTGGTTGGGCCGTCAGATGATGACTGTATCAGTTCGTGTTGTTTTGTATATTGGCGAAGGGTCGTGCCGGCAGCCTTCTCCTTCTGCTCTTGGACGTGTGTAGAAAAAAGCTCAGCAACATCTCCATGGATGGACAGCGATCGCATTGTGACAGAGTTCCAGTTACATCGCCTGGAAACGCTCGCCATCGCTCCACGCTCCCTTGAACCTGTGCGGTGCGAATGACACCGAGCAGGTCAGTTTAGCCGCCCGCCTGGTGAACCCAACACGCGGATCGAACCCAACCCGCGGCCCGTCCGTCCGTGGATCGCGTTCACCGTGCGATGGGCACCGTTTGGGGGGGACACCCCAGTGGATGTGAATTCAACAGGTGGAAAGATCCAACTGAGGCGGGTCAGAGGTGACCCAAGCGAAATCAAACCAAGCAGCTTTTGAGGTCAGGCCACCGAAGGCCTTTGGTCGCATTGTCGTATTTTGTTGGGTTTTTGGGACCGAATCGACTTTGGACGCCTGGAAACGAAGCCAAGTGCCAATCTCCCAGATTCTGTTGTTCAAAGAGGTGCGGCCGACTAATTAGGTTGCTGGGAGCTCGGCTCCGTGCATTTCACGCTCCATGGGATGTGGTTGACCAGGTGAGTTTCCTTGGCTCCACCGGAGCACCGCTTTTTCTCGGATCAACCAAATGGTGGGATCGCCCAACTTGACTTCCAATTCGGATCCCCAAAACTGCTTGCGAACGCGTCCGCATCGACACCATGAAGTGGTGGGCCATCGAAATGAACGTCGCACGTTGGATTGGTGCAATTGACCACCGACCGACTGGGGTCTGCCATCGAACATATCGAACCTTGAGGTCATTGGCCCATGCCTCACCTCCCACGAGCACTTCTTCACCATCATGTGGCTGGTCCGACCGCATGGACTGTTTGGGGTTCTCCGCACCGCTTGGGCTGTTTGATGTGACACCGTCTCTTCAGGGATGCACCGGGGGAATGATCGATGATGCACTGGGTGAGATGGTTGGATGAGTAGTCCAAGACTAGCTTCGACTGTTTGGTCCTTGATGGAATCTAACTGGAGTGAGACAAACACATATCTCCCTTGTCGAAGCTTCTCGCAGAATCTGCGGAAGGAAGACCTTTATATAGATATTTTGTTCAGTGGACATGCAGCGGCATTGGTGGGCACCTCGTCGCATAACATGAACATTCAGCAAACTTGCATGAAGCTGATTTCTTTGATGATAGGGGCTATCTACAATATTTCACCCTAGCCTTCCAAGACCATACAAATGGTTCTGACGGTTGTTTGACCATATTCACCAAAACACCTTAGGCTGGCGGTTGTGATCTACAAGCTCAATGAGAATCTGGGTGAAACGAAGCATGTGGAGATTTGGGTGTTGCTCTTCTTCAGCTTCTACATCATTTTCTCTGCCACTTGCAGGGCCATCAGAGGGATTCACGCGATGGATTTCACACAAATCCTTTTGGGGGAAGATCATGTAAATGCAGAAGCAGGTGGGATCAGTTCGCGAACAGATCCCACCTGATCCCAGAGGCCGAACTTTGTGCAATCTGCTATCTTGATGTTTGGATGATTTGGGCTGCGTGTGGAGAAACCTCGGAGGTTTCAGTCGACGGGAGGGCTCAAGGCGGGGGTCGGGGTGCTATCTCGGGCAATCTGCCAATCGCATCGTCAAAAGGGACTCACCTTCTTGCTCCTAGTCGTACGGCCAGGAGCCCCTAGTAGCGTCCTTGCTCCTAGTAGCGATGCCCTTCGCTACCAGTAGCTTCTTGCTCCCTGGCAACATGGCCATACTTTGAGGGGATCACGGGGCTGAAGAGCTTTCACAGGAAGACGCGACGCAGGCGCAGGAGACGTTAAGCCTACCAAGCTGAAGTGACGTGTTGCTTTTTTTGGAGACAATCTGACCCGAAACTTGCAAGGCTTTGCAAGCCAAAAACCCGTCAAAGAAACGCGGGGACGGAGTCCTCACTCGCTTCCGTGCCCCGTCGACCGCGTCGACCGCGTGGTCCGGTCGTGTCGCGGTCCGGTCGTGACACCTTCGAGGCGAGCTTCGTGTATGCGGCGCGCTTCAACGACAACGACGGGGCACACAAGTTGATTTGGTCTTTGTACCAGTGCCTTGTGCAAGGTTCGAAACGATTACAGGCCAAGCAACTGAACCGTGGGACCGGGATGTTCTGGATCAATGGATTCGGAGGACGTAGGAGGTTGGTTTAATGGTGGCATGCGTTTGTTGTTCGAGTGACGAATAACAAGGCATTTGCCATGGGTCGATCAACTCAGTGTGGTTTCCAGGTTTTGGCTGCCGTGAGCGACAGTGAGTGAGTAACATGGGCGACGCGCGATTCCTCGCGTGGCTGCTGACAGGGCAAAGCCCTAGACTCTTTTGATTGTATTTTCTTGTGTTGGAGTTGATCCTTGTACAGTATCTTTTTCTTGACTGCATCAGTGAGATAGCCCCTTCCACCGTCCGAGGTTCCAACTCCTTTTCATGCTGGAAGGATTGAGTACGGACGACGCTGCTCAGCTTAACGATGTTTGAGCTTTCGATTTCGGTCCATTCTTTGTACGGCTTCGTCGGCTTCGGCTTCCTCATCTCCATCACCTCCCGTCAGTGACGTGTCAGCTAGCGTCACCTTCCAAGACCGAAGGCTTGAGTCTCCTTCCCTTCTCTCCACGAAGGAGGAGGTTCAGTTCAACATTTTGGCGCTCTCCTCTGCCGCGATGTTCCTCCTTTTGAGCCTGGGTTTCTTTGGGCGTGCCGCCGTGGGGGTGCGCCGTGCGCGCTGCTGGATGGGCCTCTGGGCGGACGAGATGTACGTGTAGAGAGAAGAGGGGGGGCGGCGGGGTACCGTCGTGGGTGCGGGGTCACTGCAAGAGGAAGTCTTCCGACGTATTTGGGTATTTATATATATATAACTAATGTATATTATATAGTTATATATATATATTATTATGTATTAAAGAAACCACCAACACGTGTATGACTCATCATGAGTCTGATGCGAGGTGTTTTCAGGCATTCAACAAAGACTCTTAAGTCGAGGCTAGCTTGGAATTGAAGCCCACGAGTTCGTGGTGGATCCAACCATCCATGCACTTTTGGGGTTTGATTCAAATCAGTTGATCAGCACCGTCTTCAGTAAATGGAAACTCGCTTGAGGCCTTTTGGGTTTTGGAAGTCCACCGGACTGGCACCGTGCCGCGAGGGTTGCGAGGGTCGCGACCTGAAGTGGTTCGGCGAAGGACCGTGGCGTCGGATTCGGTGACGGTTCTGTGACGTTGTGACCGGGGCGCGAAGAATACGACTGCCAAGGCTCCTTTGCAGTGCTGTACCTCTTCTGCGACCTGATTGGAGTCTTTGGTGCTGAGCCTTCAAAGGGATGGAACGGGGAGGGGATCCCGTGCTGACTCCCAGCTGACTCCGCGGGATCAGGTTTAACTCCGCGGTGTGGTGATGGTGATTATGTGTTAGGAGTCCCGTGACTCCTCAAGTTCCCAACCAGCAACATGCTGGTTGCCCGAGCCTCTAGCCTAGCCTAGCCTTGCTTAGCCATACCGAGCCTGCTGAGACATGCTTCACCTCATGTTGGCCGATCTAAGAGGAGCCCGACCAGTCCACCAGGTCAAGCCGCGAGTTCGACGAAACAAACACCACAACGTCCTGTCAACGTCCTCAGTGTCCGAAGCAGTTCCCCAGCCGGCCAGATGAATGAAAGACTTTGGGTTACAAGATCTGTGGTTTCCAACATGATTGTGAAGAAAATTCCTTCTTTAAATGGCCAAAAATACCTACTAATAGACATGGCCTCCAACCTGAGAGCGAAAGATTTTCGGTCACAAGATCCGTGGTTTCACATTCTCACTCCACAGATCCGCAGATCCGAGGTTTCTTTGACCGGCAACACAGCTACTTGCTGCTCTTCTTGGTGGTGGCCGTGGTGATGCTCTTCGATCCCTTCGTGTTTTTTGTGGCAAAGATGTTCAGGGCCAAAGAAGCCTGGGTCTTGCCCATGAACATGGAGCCTTTGCCTGGTGCTTGCGTGCTTTGTGTGGATTTCCAATCGAAGCTATATGAAAACAGGATGCAGGTTTACTTGGAACATGTTTAGATAATCATATAGATTCATATAGATTCACTCTTCAAGGGCATTTTTGTATCCGTTCCAAGACCCTAACAGATGGTATCCGGAGGTTCTAACATTCTCAACAATTCTTGTCATTTCCGTACTGGATTTCCGTTCTCAGATCCTCCGTTTCTTTTGCAAAATGCAATTGATCCATACAAGATCAGATGCTCAGTTTGCCGAGACTGGCAAGCACCCCCTTTTGCTGTTGTCATGGATGGATCCTTGTCGTTACCATCAATGCCCATGTTGATGTTTGCTTCCCATCTTTGGCTTCTGTCCATGGGCGAAAAAAAGAAAAAGGTGAAGCGTTGCCAAGGAGTACATTATCAGTCGTTTCGACGGCCTCATCCTTGAAGTCTTGGGTGTCGCCATGATCGTGCCTGGATCGGAAGACAATTTGTGAATTCAGTGGGACTTGAGTACTGAAGAGTGCCCCTTAAACATCCTTAAACCATGTCTTCTCTTTTTAGAACTTTTATGAACTCTTTTTAGAAAACCTAAGCAAGTGCAACCTGAACACGGGGACTCTGTTTAACGCCAAAGCACACTCGGCGCAGATCGTGGGGACAGCGCAGACCGTGGGAAAGCACGGCTCTGATTCAAAACATATCACGGAAGAGTGTTTGAGAAGAGCCGGACTTGCTCAGATCACACTGGTAGTGACTGCTTTCACTGGGGCCCGTTTCGGAGAAGGCCCGAACCCGAATGCTGGAGGGTTGATTTGCTCAGGGTGTCAAACATTTATTTTTTCACTGAGAAAGGATGGATACTTTGATTGATAGGTTCTGCAACTTTGGTCTCAGCCTTTGTGTGAGTTTTCTTGCGAGTTGAGACTTTTGGATATCTTGGATGGATTGCTTTTGCTGGATCCGAGGTTCCCTGCGCCTTCTATCCTCACAGCTTTCGCTATCCACGCCCAGTCTTTTGCTTCGTGGTCTTGATCCTTCGGTTCTGAAGGGGGTGAAGCGGGTGGAAGAACGACGAGGAACCGCCGGTTGGCTTTGTGGTTGGCATCAAGGGCCCCAAAGGATCTGGAATCTCGGGCCCAACGGTTATGCCCTTTGCTCCGTTCGTAGCGATGCACTTGTTCCTAGTAGCGAACCTTGTTACTACTAGTAAGGCACTTGTTACTAGAAGCGATGCACTTGTTACTAGTAGCGTACCCACCCGACTCGCCTATTTTCAATACCCAGACACGACCAGTCTGGGACTGCCATAGGACTGCCGAGAAAACGGCCAAGGGTGGTGGGTTTGGGGGGTCAATTGATCGGCGTATATGGCAGTCCCATGGAGTGTCTGGGATAGAACGAGGGCTGCTAGGAGGCGACATCGGAAGACGGAAGACGGCAGGGTGCTAGTAGCGCGAGTAGCGACTGAATTGGAGTTTGCTTGACGTTGGCAGTGCGATGTGCAAAAGGCGGCTTCTGATGTGCAGTGCATGCTGGCAGAAGCCACAGTAGAAGCAGAAGGCATGCTAAACTACAAGGACAGCAGCAACAATCAATAACTGCCACAAGAAACAGCCAAAGAGGGAGGCTCCACTAGGACCCCCCTGGCCAGTTTAGGAACCCCAGAACTTCTATATCCAGAAAAAAACATGCGACCAGAACATATCAATCCCAGTGGTCCAGAACTGGACAACGGAGCACACAGGAACGCTGCCTTGGCGGTGCTCTTCAAGATTGCGGTGCTGGACGTGGAGCCCATCTGGGCAGATCGCCATGCCATGCGACGCAGCAATTGGACACCTGGGATGCCATGCCCGTGTGATGTGGCTGTGGGTCATGGCACCAGGATACCAAGCAGTTGACCTATCTGGAAGGTCGTTCGCTACGTAGACCAGACAGGGTCAAAGCCGGGCTAAGAGGATTCAGAGGCCCAATCATTAGTGTGAGCGATCCTGTGTCCTAGGTAGGAGCGTCTTGAGTAGCTAGGAGCGAACTCCTCCCTTCATTAAGTAGCGAAGTAGGCGCCTGCTTAAAAACCAGTAAGGAGGCAGGGCCACGGGCTCAAAGAAGAACTGCGGCATGAATCCTTTGGCTGGGCGAACGCCTACCACCTCGCTTGGTTCCGGAAAGCCGCCTACCACCTCGGCGAAGGCCGATGGATTTGGCTTTTTCCGTCTGAAGACGTGATCTAAGGAGGGCTCATCTCTTCTTCTTCCTCAACCCCTTCATCCTTCTGGGAATCTTGGATTCGATTTCGGATCCGACGCTTTCGACGCTTGGCGATCCAAAGTCCACAGTTTGTTCTCGAGTCCTCAGTCCAGTCCTCATTCCGAGGCGGGAGGCGTTCCAGAAACACCGAGTGGACCCGAGTCGACAAGCCGCTCCCGAGTCGATGGCCGACGGCTCCGTTCTTCGTCGTTTTGGAAAAAAGGATCCAAAGAACAAGCGAAGCCTTTTTTTGGATTGGAGAATCAATTGAAACGATAGTGCAGCTTCTTGTATTCTGTTTGAGTTCGAGTTGAGGGATAGACATATCTACCTACATGGCTGCTCTTTTATGCTGATTCCCTTTCCCACCAATCTGGGCGAAAAAGACACACCATTCGTTTTTCAGCGAAGACTTTAAGGCTTATGTGGCATTGGCGCGGCCATGCCGCTCTTGACCAAATCCGTGGGAGACTTTGGGTACGAAGCCCGTCACTCGGCGCAGATGTGAACACTTGTGGCCAAGGAACTCCCTCTTCCAGCTGCGGAACAGAAGATGCGCAGTTTCACAATTGACGCCGAACATTTTTGGATACTGAACTGAACTCTTGTGCATACCTACCTGCAGGCCCTACGCCTACCCGCTGTGCTTCAGTTCCCCTATTTGAATATAGGAAGACTTTTGGAATACCTCGCCCCGGCCTGCCTGGGGCAGACGGGTGAGCTTTTTCCTTCCTTCCCAGTCGAACGTCGGACCGTGTCTTGCGCCAAGTCGTCGTTGCTTTGGCGCCAGTTCGGCACCGCAGACCGCAGATGGCCGCGGATCTCGCTTCCGTCTTCGGCCGACCCCTCCTCAGGATCAGAAGGAGACGTCTGTGAAGTGACCGTTTGACCCGTCACCAGACGTTCGGGGTACCGAGCGGACCTCGGATCGAACGTTCGGATCCTCGGGTTCGCTGATCCACCGGGTTCACGGTGACCGACGGTGACCGACGGTGTCCGAAGGGGTCGATGGTGTTCGGCACCGGTTCGGCGAAGCATCGACCACTGAAAAACGGCCGAGTAACTCGGTGATCGCTTTCATCGTTACTTCGAGGCGTAGAAATGAACGTTGAAAGTGGGCTTCCACGAAACCCTTTTTTTCAATGGTTTTGGCTTCCAAAAAGACCGAATGGCCTCTCTGAGGTGATATGTTTGCCCAACACTTGGCCAGCTGGCGGCTCGACTTGCACTGGGCGCCCTGGGGAGCAGGAGGTTAGGTGGTTCAGAAGAGTGCAGTCAAGAGTCATGCTGCAAAGGCACTTGGGGCATGATACTACTGGTGACATGGGCCCCCAGGAAGGATATGTTGAAAAAGACCAGTCACAAGCCTGAGGAATGTCCACAGTAGCACGTCAAACCCAAGGGCTTCTCTTCACACTCCACTTCAGCAACGTCTTCAGAGTCTTCAGCTCTTCGGGCAGCTACTATCTCCCAAAAACACTCACATTGAAACCGATCGAAGCCGCGAAGTGATTAGACGCATATATCCTGCGTCCGTCCTTTTCTTTCGTCCAGAAGCAGCAGGAGCAGTCGTCAGATGAACCTGGTGCTATCCTTTGTTCTTCCCACATCTCCCCTTCTGGTTGGGTTTCCCCTTCTTCCAGGCGACGGTGTGTGCCAGACACGAAAGCGAGGGGTGGCACCCTTTGGTTTACGAAAGCGGTCAGGCACAGACGACCGGGTGAAACGGCGAAACCACGGGGACCCTGACTCTGCCCGTTCTGACTCCTTAGAGGTGAAAATAGACTCATCAGGGGTGACTCTGGATGGTCCTTTTAAGTTCAAGACCATCCATCAGACCGAGCCCAGGGGCCCTTCTTGGGCGACCGAGTCCATGCGACCGAGTCCATGGCCATCATGGCCATCATGGCCCATCCATCGTCATGGCCATCCGTCTCAGACGTCCTCAGGTCGTCCTTCCTGACCTGGATGGCCTTGGCCGCCACGAAGATGCTGCACAAGCCGATGCGCAGCACCCGGCTCCACTGCTGCCCGACCAAAGGGGCGGGCGGAGGAGTCCAACCAAGCTGCACCGGAGGTTCCTTCATGACCTTTGGAGAGGACCTTCTTTCAACATTTTTAGTTTTTCTTTTTTTGAAAGTTGTTTGACATGTGTTGCCTGTGAAGGCCACAGGATTGTTGGGAATGGACAGGAGACCTTACTGGTCTGTTCTTGCAACCTAGAATCCCTTCATGAATTCACCATCCCAAACACAAGGCTTAGCTTGTTTGCTCAGGGTCCTTCTGTTGGAGAAAGTATTTGACACAATTCCAAAGTCAAAGGTTCGGTTCGTGTGGCTTCTTGCAATTCCAACATCAATACTGTTGCTTTGCTGCTTTGTTGCGACCCGGATGGGATAATATGACGGCTTTGGATTTGCGACCTTCAATTGTCTCCTTTTAGGACCACCAAGGACAGCGGAACATTTGAAGGCGTATTCTTATATGATTGAACATATTCCAGCACCACGGATGGAACATACATAGTCAGAGGTGTCCATAAACCACCCCTTCCGTGGTGCTGGTTAATGTTTTTTTTCTTTTTATGCGGCACCGGTTTGGACTCTCCCCTTCGCGTCGGGTCGGCGGAGTGGGCGTTCGCGTCGGCCGAAGCGAGGGTGGTGTGTTGGGATCTTCGGGTTGGAAAGGAAAGAAGTGCCTTACTAGTAGTAACAAGAGGCGAACAAAATTTGTTTCTACTAGCTTTATTGTTACTAGTAGTAAGGCACCTGTTACTACTAGCGTGGCACTTGTTACTACTAGCGTGGCACTTGTTTCTACTATTAGGAAAGAAGGAGGTTGGCTTTAAAGGTCGAAAAAATCCACCATGTGCCGTTCGAATCGCTCGACCGCGTGTGAATCAATGTCGAAGAAAGTAAAAGAAGGAAGGAAAGGAAAGGAAGGAAGGAAAGGAAGGAAGAAAAGAAATGAAGAACAGGTCCAACAACAAAGACAAGAAATTGAACACATGTTTTTTTCCTCAGATTCCGTTTCACCAGATTGTCTGCTTCCATCTGGGCCTCCAAAATGGCTAGCGGCTACATGTTGGATCGACCGATGCTTGAGAGTCTCCTGACAACTCAAGAGAAACCGATCCAAAAAGGCTTCCTCCTTCCACCCCCTGCCCCACCCTCCCAACCTCATTCCTTTTCAACAAGAAACCCTCTCAGCGCTCAAGCCAAACGGCTCACGGCTCACGGCAAAAAAGCGAGAGCCAGCCTCCCAACCTCTCGGGCTTCTCGCGGCCGGACGACCGGTGTCGTGCGGGCGAAACCGCGCGCCAGCGAAGACCTGCCGAGGTCTGAAGGTCTTCGTGAAAGCTTTGGGCGCCACCCTCATGCTGACGCTCGGAACAATGCTTTGAGCGATGCATGGCACACTCCGTGGGGGAGAAAACAGGGTGGTGAAAGCGAAGAAAGAAACTGGCATCGGCAGGGAGAACACCGGCAGGTGGACCAGGGTTTTCCATTTCTTTTTGTTTTGCACGAAACGTTGAGAGATACCATGAGGAGCTGTTTTCCAAGTTTCAGGCACATGTTACAGACAGATCTCCATGCAGATATTTGTGACGCTCAAAAATGATGGGCGATTATTCCCTCCTTGAAGGAGGTGGTGAAAGATCTCAGGCTGCCAGTGCTGATTCTGCACCTACGCGATGTGATATTTCTGCTCTTTCTGGGCACCGTGACCTGTGTCTTGGATGTCTTGGACACAGCCAGGAAGTGGAATCAATTGACAATCAACCATCCTGGAGCATCCTGAAGCCAGACCTCCCCCCAAAACGCCACCTGTCGGGTATGTTCGTTCTCTCCAACCTCCGTCCCTCGAACCGTCGGTTCGCCTCCGTGCGAGCGGCCCGCTGTTGGCCTCGACGGGCTCGGGGCCGACCGAACCGAGCGAGCTGGCGCTCGCGCAGAGCTCGGGGGATTGGGTGGGAGCGGGCCAAGTTCCCTGCTTGGTTGGCTCTCGAAGTCGGCTGGTGGGCGACGTCGGACATTCTCTGCTCCCCTTCGAATTCACCGGGCAGCCAGGAACTCCCAAGAAACGACACGCAAACCATGGCGCGTCCCAACGGTTGGACCGTGCTTAAGGTGTGGTCACCTTCAGCTTGATGATCATCAGTAGCGAGGTGTTGGGGTTGGAGTCGGTTCGGGTTGGGAATCTTGGGAAGGACGTCATGAAACACCAAAAACTAGGAAGAAGTGCATCACTGCTACTATAGTAGCTATAGAAGCTACTAGTAACATCTAGTAACACTGTTTCATTAAAAGAAATGGTGCCTAAAAACGTCCCATCGGCGATTTTTGTTGGCACCCAAACAACAGAACTTTCCGAGTCACGTCGGATCACGGGGACTCCTCGGTCGACCCGTTGGTCGTCAGAGGGACCGGTGCGGTGCGGTGCTCAGCTGGAGCCGCTCCGTCGACCGACTGGGGGCCAGTCGTCGACCGACTCTGCGGACACGACGAAAGAATCCCGAAGAGGTTGGTCACCCGAACTGGGGTAACAAACAGCTGAGGATGGAGCGAGTTAGAGGCCATGGAGCGAACGCAAGACCTGCGACCGAAACACAGACGACTCTGAAGGGAACACAGAACAAGCCCAGAGAGACCAGATCTGAGGGACCAGCGACACACACAGATGTCCATGTCGGCGACAGAAAGCCTTCGGCCTTCGGTCCAAGCTGGTCGAAATCGAACCATCCAACAGGCTAGACGGTTGGTGTTTCCCGGATCTCTCTCCCCGGTCCAGCCCGGTCCAGTCCGGACCGCGCACGGTGGTCGACTCATCGCCCACGGTGGTCTTACCTCGTTCTCACGCACGCACCGATCGGCCGGCGTCATGTAGGTGCAGTAGGCGTCTCGTACCGAGAGTACACATATTTTTCTTGAATGGCATGACGTGGTTTTCGTCTATATCTACATGTGTTTTGTTTGAACATGTTTTTGGCCACACAGCTTCTTGAAGTGCCCCCGATCCTAAACAAATTGTCACTGTTGCTTGGTTGTTGTATCAAACCGCAACCTGATGCAACCTGCATGCACGGTGGACTCGTCTTCACAGTGTTTTCACGGTGTCGCAGTGGTTGAATTTTTTTCGCGTCCCCTAGCCCTAATCACCCGGACTTGCTAATGCTGCAAATAGATTGAGATCAGCTGACCTGTTTTCATGGACCTTTCCAGTGTGTCATGCTCCACCCGCTAGGTCGCTAGGTTCTTTTTCCCCAATAGCCATGCTATGGGGTCTTGCAAAACTAATAGGCGGACGGGCGCCGTCGGGTCACCGTCAGAGCTGGTGGGCGGATGGTGTCCCGGTCATGTTTTGATGGCGTCCGGGTCATGTGATGCTGGTGTCCCGGTGTCCCGATCATGTTTTGATTGTGACCCAATCATGTTGTGATGGTGTCCCGGTCATGTTTTGATGGTGTCCCGGTCGTGTTGTGACGGTGTCCCGGTCATGTTTTGATGGTGTCCCGGTCCTGTTGTGATGGTGTCCTGGTCATGTCTTGGCGGTGTGCCGGTTATGTTTTGATGGTGTCCGGGTCATGTGACGGTGTCCCGGTCATGTTGTGATGGTGTCCTGGTCATCTTGTGATGGTTTTCCCGTCATGTCATGTTGGTGTCCCGGTCACCTTGTGATGGTGTCCCGGTCATGTTGTGATTGTGTCCCAGTCATGTTGTGACGGTGTCCCAGTCATGTTGTGATGGTGTCTCGCTCATGTTGTGACGGTGTCCCGGTTATGTGATGATGGTGTCCAAGGAAGAGATGGTCGATGTGTTGAAAACAGCAGCTGTTTCCAGATTTTTCTTTTTGTCCCGGTTTGTATCTTGCTATTGGGGTCTCCAGCTGGGCTAATTCATCCTTTTCTCCTTTCGCATTTAGTTAAAGTCACATCTACTGTGTTTGCTGTGCACCCCCAGGCAGTCCTCGCAGCTTCCTCACACAATGAACTCGTGGCTCGCTGAGGCCGGTGGACATGGGGCCGGTGGGGTCGGAGTGGACATGGGATGAGTTACATCCACCGAAATCCAGTTGGACGACTGTTCAGGTCGGTCTGAGACGTCTGAGACAGTGCTGGTTTTCCAGTGGATGACCGAATCGGTCCTAGACAACCCCGAGACCCCGAGACCCCGAGACGAAGAACTGCAGCGCAAGGACCGCCGCCGTCTTCCTTCGGTCAGCAAGTAGAAGTAGGACAAGTAGGACTAAGTGACTATGTGCTGCCGCAGGCAAGCTTCGAATCACACGAACACCGACATCCGCAGTTTGTTGAGCTCCAAGCCTGGACCATTGATCCTGGCCAAGTGTCGCAAGTTTGGACGTCTGGCGGCTGCGTCGCGCGGCTTCGTCTTCATCACCAGTTGGTACGAGATGAGCTTCCAGGAGAGGCCACATCCGCACCGAGTGCCACGGTCTCCGCGAAAGCCCCCGATGGTTTCGCGGCGTCCACAGAGTCCATGTTTTGTGAAGTTTCGAAGGTTCAGATGCCGTTCTGAACGACCTGGACGTCAGCAAGGGCCGCAAGTGATCCTTAGCGTATTTGTTCAATTCAAGGCATGGATGCGCCATCCAGGGCGACCAGGACTTCAGAGCGACTTTGGTCATGAGAATCATCTCTCCATCAATCAAGGATGTGATCGACACCGACCCCAGGAAAGATCGACGCCGAACGCATGAAGCTGAAGATTGAGAAGCATCTTCTCATTGCGGATGTAGATGAGATGCACCTTGCACTGCGGTCGGAGGCTCGCCGCATCTCGCGGCAATCTATACGTCCGCATGATCATCCCCTCATTCCTTGAGCATGTTGAGAAGCCAAAACATCGAGGTTTCCGTGGAAGGGGACCCTGAAGAGCCAAACAAGAACTGATGTGATTCATGTGATCGTGTATGACATGGTTCATTCTTTGACTTTTGTTTTCTCATTGCTTTTAACTTGTTTTCTTCCAATTCCAGCAAAACACGGGTTCCTGCCCGGGCCAGTTGCATGCTTCAAATTGGAAGGAGAGACTCAGGTCACGGTGTCGCCGTCGGTGCATCCCGATCACCGTGACCACCGTCGCGTCCTCCGTGCGTCCGTTGGCCATCGAAACCATGCGATGGCCGCCGGAATTCCATTGAGCCCTTCATCTTCGGGCGTTGAAGGGGAGTGGCTTGAGCGGGTTGGTAGTTTTGAGAGGGACCAGAGACCACCCCCGCAATGGGTTACTTGTGGTCTATGTTCCTTTTGGCAGGGGGTCTAGACGGGGGCTCTTCCTATTTGAGCGGACCGAACGCGTCCGCTTCACGCGTCCGCTTCACGCCAGGCCGAGGACGAAAAAAGGAGCCGGTCCGGCGGCGGTACGGGCGGAACAGATGGAACCCGGGGAGCGGGTGGATCGGTGCCGGGCGGAGGGTGTCGTGTAGTTGTGAAAGGCTTGGGGCCTGGAAGGACAGGGGGACCTGGGTGACCTGCGTTCTGAACATATGTGGGTGAATGTAGGCAAAGAGGGTACGCTTTCTTCCCTTAGGAGTCCACACTGATTCTATCTACTAGATAGCTTGGGATGGCAGCTTCTGCAGTTCTGGCGGTCTAGCTGAGATAGATCTTCCGAAAAAAGGATATATTGACCGGTCCAGTGCTTTTGAGCCTTGGAGTTCCATAGTGCTCTCTTTCGGGCGACTTTCAAGCACATGAGTGCTCCACTCCAAAACCCGAGCGGGGTAAGTGGAAGGTCGCATCCGTGGAGAACATCGGGACTTGGCGAGTGGACTCACTGAAAAGAGAAGGTCTTTGTTCCTCACGGTCCACGAATCCGGGCGTGAACGCATCCGGGCGTCGCGAGACGCACGTAGTGGTGGAACGAATCGTGACGTGGAGTGAGTGAGTTCACCCTGCTGGGACAGGTCTTCGGATTGAGTTTAGACCGGCCGGGCGGCGGGGAGGGGCCTCCAGTGGGTCCGAACGAACCTCGCCTCCGCGTCGCCGCAGGTTCCCCGAAATCCGTTGGGGAGAGCGTGCCGTGTGGGGCCTTGCGGCGGACCAGACACGACAGGTCATCCGCCCCGAGTTCGAACCCGACCACGACTCGGTGCAGGCATGGTATGGAGGCGCCTTCATGACACCGACGTGAGGATGTGCCGATGAGTTGGGGCAGATGGGGCAGATGTTGGCCACGTTGGTGAGGGGTTGGCTCGGGTCGATGGTGAAGGGGGACCGAGACAGTGTTGCATCAACCGTGGTCATTGTGCTTCTAAATGCTGCCGAAGAACGATTCAGGGAGTCTTGAGGGAATTGGAGGCTGCTTCCCCCCAAAATACATCTGACCGGTTTTTTGGTGTTTCTGTTGTGAAGCCTCTTGACTCTACCCTGGGAGTCCAGTCGACTGTAGAAAGAAGGGTCAGACGAACGGTTGTCTAGAGACCTAGATAGGTAGGGTAGGGTAGTCCAGGACACCCAGACAGGATGGTCCTGGTAGAAACAACATCAAGGACAACGTTGATCCCATCGTTCTAGCTCGTTGATCCCATCGTTCTGTCGCTCGCTCCGTTTGAAGTGACTGACTCGGGGACCTTGCTCGGTGTTTTCGGCGACCGTTTTCGGGGCACCGACGGTGAGAGTTATGACTCATATTGACTCATTGACTGACTCTTGACTATACCCGGTGTAGTGGTGGACCAAAATGACTCCTATAGGTGTGGTTTCACATCAAGTCGGACGTTTGGGGTCTATGGCGTGGGATTTTGATTGACCCTCTGGAGAGCGGAATGGTTCGTTCCTCCGCTCTTCTCCCAGCTCAAAGCCATGCCGCCATGCCTCGCCCCCATGCGCCCGAGCCGCATTGCCTCTTGGAGGAGACCATCACCTTTGGGCATCGGTTGAAGGTACCAGACACACCCCACATGGCCCAGCAAAAACCTGTTTTTTCCCTAGCAAAAGACCTGGTTTTTGTATGTGAAACCTTGTGAACACCTTGGTTTTTCATGGTCTGGTTCGGGCCCCTTGGTATACATGACCTGTGTGTCCCATGACCTGTGACAGTCAATCAAAGATGATCACGATTTTAGAGAACGTCCTTTACTATAACCATCATCATTCACTGTTGCAGGGAATGGGAGACACCCATTAAGTATACACAAACAGGGTTTCTGTTTCACATCATCAGAAGGCAGGGACAGCCCCCCAACATTTCGGCAACCCTCGCACGGCTGTGCTGCGCAACCTCAAACATTTGAGGAGATGAACAGGACCTTCACTGGAATTTCGCTGGATATCGCATTGAACGCTTTCACTGGAGTCTCATGGTTTGACCGTGTTTGACCACGTGTTGCGGATCAAACGTATTCCAATCTGGTCTATGACCGACTCCCTTCCAAAGTGTCACTCCCGTCCAGCTCGCTCGGGCGAATGAAGAGACGCCACTGAACTCGCCAGAGGAGCCCACCGTACGTCGGCAGCTGGTAGACGTCACCAGCTGAGAGTGTGGAAGTTCAGGGCTGCTCAGGAGGATCCCATGTCATTTGCATCAGTGTTGTTTTTGGACACGTAATATCAGAGTCAGTAGACTTTGGGAGTTGTTCGGATGATTTTTTGTTGGTGTCATATGAGATGCCTTTCATCACATCAACACATGTGGACGTCCAGATTTGTATGTCCCAACTGTGCCACCGAAACCCTCAACCCGAGAGAGAGAGAGAGAAAGAGAGAGAGGGCCGAGAGAAGCCGGTCGCTCCCCATGCCGGTCGCTCGGGGGCGGGGGCGCTCCTCGCTGGGCTCCCTCAGTCGTGGGACAAGAGCTCCAAGTCGGTGCCGACCTTGCAATCCCTGGCGCTGGCGAGCCTGAGACAAACCGGGCCCTGTTTTTATTTTTTCGGGCCAAGACTGGTAGGGCTTTTCTGTTTTGGTTTGTTGGTGAAGAGACCGGCCATGGCCGATGCTTGTTTGTTTTATGTTTGTGCCTGTTGGAAGGAAGATTGTGTGTTTTAGAGTGCATCACTGGGATGACATGGGTCAGAGAGATACCGACAGTGTAATTGGAGCGTCCGAATTGATCCAATTTGCAGGCGCGGAGAATACACACAGATGAGAATTCTTCGGACATGTACTCTTTGTCAAAGGCTATATTTCTTGAACATTATTGTTGGGGTCTGTCCTATTACCTGTAACAGTGAGTAAACAAACAAGCAAATCACTATTTTTGGACAAGGCTTGCAACTGAACCATCATCATCATCATCATCATCATCATCATCATCATCATCATCATCATCATCATC